ACAGGTTTTATTACGAAGAAGGGAACCAAGCAGGTTCATTCACACCAGGTTCGTGTATTAAAATTCAACTGGAATCTCACCATAAAAAAGCAACTTTAAATGAAGTTCATAATTCAAGAAGAAAAAACGGATCGTGTAATTTGAATTCTTCTCGAAAGTGGAATTTCGGAGGGGGGCTCGTTTTTTTTTTCTCAGGCGGATTTGACTCTCAAATAGTAAGAGCTACATTCATTGTTTCGAAAAATAATTTAGCAAGCAGCACATGCAGATTCGAATTTGCTAAACAAAATCTTGACGGAAAGCGGGAAAGTATTATAAAAAGAAAAACTTGCCTACGTATATAGAGGTCTTTCTCGTTTTGCAGGGGGTTTCAACGACGAAATCCTCTCTGCAAACATTTTTTCTTGGTCTGTTGAATATAGTTTTAGAGCACATTCACCTGCAGAATAAAAAAACCAATGAATTAAAATAAGGTAACCATTTTTCCGACTATAAAATTTGCATTTTAAAGAATTTTATTTTGCCAAAAAGCACGATCAGTGGGAGATCATTATACACATGGAAGAGACGAAGTTTTAATAATCGTAAATTCTGCAATTAGTTCGATCAATTATGATATCACAAAAATCGGAAATCAATCGTCTTCAAAATTGAAATGAAGGTTTATCATATGCAAACAATTTTCAATTTTTCTTTTTCTGTTCCAGAGCAATTGAGCTCCATCAGAAGCGTGAGTTTGGCAAGAATCATCTGCGATAACGGAGATGATATTCAAGCCCTTCAGCCCCTGGTTTTCTTCCAACCATCCAACATGTGAGATTGTCTGAGATAATTCATATATTTTTTTTATATAGTCAAATTTTATTGATTTCAAATTTTCTCCTGAATCAGAAACCCAAGAATGCCATGCAACAGCTTCGCCATACCAAGTTTGGACCTGACCTTGTGGCAATCCATCACTCAACCGAGCCAAAAACCGGGTTGGTGAATTGCAAAATAAAAAAAACAAGATCAGGAGTTGGATTCAGGAGCATTAATTTTTTGCACGTACTCGTGATTGGAGTGAGCAATCAAATTGAGCTTCTTGCGCAAGTCGATGTATGTCGTCTTTTGTTCAGCCAATCAATTCTTTTTTGCGCGTGTCAAAGTTCAATCGCAAGTATTAAATCGACTATTTTACACAAAAAAACCGAATCGCATTCTTTTCATTCCGTGTACATGCTATACCGTGTTTTTAAAGAGGAAAAGACGAAAACTCAAACCTTCCTGTGTCAAACATTTTAAAGCCCCCGTTTCTTAAATCCTTACAAAAATGCATTGAAACATTTGTAAATCACAGGCTTTCCGTTTCAAACTTAAATATCTTGAATTTTCTGGTGGCCTTCTGGCTATCATTTGATTGATACTAGAGAGTTCTCATATAAATTACAGTGAGACCTCAAAATGAGGACATAATTGGTGCATCAAGAGTTTCCCCAAGTCAAGTCTCATATTCCCTCAGACTTCCATTGTATAAATTTTGAATGGTCTCCTACTATGGACAAAACACTCAACATGATTCCATGAATATAAAAACTGTCTCCCAATTGAAACTGATTCAATCAATATATTTCAACACAATATGGACATTTGTGGAATTGAATGCTGATACCTCTACAGGATGTAGAAATGTTGGGATTATTGTCTGTACAAATTAAATTCAAATGAAAAGGAGAGACGGTAAGTTCCTCTATGCTGGAGTTTTTTTTATTAGGTAAATGAATGGTAAATTGGTGAGAGAAATGCCCACAAACTTTTCCTACATCAATTTTGGGTTTGGAAATATCTGTTTCTAGTAATTTGGCATGAAACTTATTTGCAATTTTATCACAAATTGTCCCTGTGTCAAGTCAGTGTCCTCATGTTGGGCCTTTTTTAATAATGTTTATGGGAAAATAAGTGGCCCCTATACATTGAATTGTCTGCACAGTGCACATTGAGGTGTCCGAAATTTGAGGGTACTGCTGCCCATGCCACTGATTTTTTCCGTTTCAGATCAATGCGAGAAATTGTCTTGTTTCTTCATTGCTTTCCTTGCGAAAATCCTGGAAATGGAAAAAGAACGAGTGTTTACTACGTTGCGCCCTGGATTGACCAGTATTATGGTGCCGTGAGTGAGAATGAGGCTCATCTAGACCGGAAATGTATCCCGGCTGAGGTTTCTCATATAAATATATATTATATACATACAGTATATGTGTTCAGTGTAGCTTTCTCCTTCCGGTTCTTTTCGCGTCTATTTTCATGGATGCCTCTCGGTTTTTTGCTCTCTTCGTCCGGCTGCGGATGTGGTCAGTCGTGGTAGCTGGGGAAAAGCTGGGGGAAAACCCCGGTGGGAAATTAACTCGGGTTTCTCTAGTCGCTGGGCCCCTTGGATTCCACAAGCGTAGCCCAAACAGACGGGTTTCAGGAAAAGTTCTCAATTTGTTTCTGGGGTAAATAGCACTATTCTGTCCCGTGCATTCCTGGCAACAATAAGTGACAAGTGGAGAAGGAAAGTCAGGAAAACCTATGGTATTCCCCCCAGTACCACCAGCACATTCTTTCCCCTCAAGCTTGAGGCGAAAATACTGTATGAAGTATGCACAATAGGTGGAGATGAAATTTTTTTGGAAGTTTGGATGTGCATCAAATCACTCGTCTGTTATTGGCAATTTTTGGTAGGGACTCTTTTTACCACATCTGCGGCAAAGTTGGACTTTTTTTTTGCAGATTTAGGTGCACTCAAGAATGAAATTAGAAAAAAACTATGATAGTATGAACTGTGAAAACTCCAGAAAAATCCTAGCAATTTTAACCCTTGTGCACTGAAGTTGGATTATATTTCCAAAATTTTGTATCACTGAGAACTGGTAATTTAAAAAATGCAACTTTTGTACAAAGAGGCCTAAGTTGGGAGAAAGTCCAGCATTTTTTTTCTAATCCAGCAGAAAATTGTGCATGAAAAATTAAATATCCCTCGCTAGGTGGCATTTTTCCTGCATTCGTGGCATAGGATCAGCATGGAAGATTCCTGAAAACGAAAGAGAATTTGTGTCCCAGATTTGTCCCTTATTAATCTTTTTTAAATACTGTGATACTAATACCTTGCATATTCCCTTCAGATTATTTTCCATATTTACTCAAGTACCCCATGTCATCAATTAAGACACACTCCTTCGATTTTTAGCTAAGAAGTTTGAAAAAATTCTTATCCCAGTGTGAAATGCACAACTTGGTTTTCTGTTAACAAAATTCTGATTTTAAAAGCTTTGTTGGGTAACATTTAAATTCAAGCCCGCTTGAAAATTTAGCTCAATGATGATGACTACTGCTTCTTCATAGAGTTGAAGGCCCGTATGAACAGACTATGACTATCATCTGTACATTAATGTTGCAATAAAAAAGTCTTTGGGGAAAAGTTTTCAAATTTTAAAATATTTTCAATTGAAAATCAGTTCCCAATTCAGCCGCGCAACTAATTTTCTGCCGTAGTTTTTGGGGAAAAGGTGCGCATTTTACTTTGGTGAATAGGATTCTTCTTCATGGAATAAGATTTTCAGAGATGGTGGTCATCTGTATATACCTGTGAATGAAATCCCTTTGTTTCTTGAGATTAAAAATATAAAGAGATTTCGTTCCAGCAAGTTATATTTTTTTCCACAAGAATGAACCTGCTTGCACCGGGAGGAAGTACTTTTTTCGGTTGATTTCAATATGACCTCCTCCATATTCGTCTATGTGATGGTCACTGCAAACCAAATGACATGTAGCACTTTGACACTTATGGGATATCCACGTTCGAGAAAAACGATTATCATCCAGTTGACCTGGAATGCAATCAGGATGAAGTGTCTATTGGAGGGTAATGCGCAATGAGACTTGATTGTACAGTATTGAAATTCAGTTCAGTCCAGCGGAGTTCGTCTATAATTAATCCACTACTTGTAACAGGTTGTTAAAGTATATAAATGTATGCATGAATGAACCGGCGAGCTGATAATATATAAGTTTTAGTGCTCAAACTCTCACGCTGATTGACGTCAACCTTATTTTTCCGGGTATTCTCGGAATAATCCACAAACTCTGCCTAGAAAACTTTGCAGCACAACCCGCGAAATTTGGAGAGAATTTTCTCCAGAGTCCATGAGTTACAGAGGGACTGAGGAAACCGTGGACGTTTCGGGATATCGAGACAAATGAGCTCGCAGAAGGTCAGACACTCGGCCGTACCCGGGTTCTGGGTATTGGGGGGCGAAATTGCTGATTAGACTGGGGTTCGTCTCTATATATATGTACGTATGTCTGGCCTCTCTCCTGTGAGGTCGTGAGCGGATTCGCAGTTGGGTCTCTTTCGTCGGGTTTCCCTTTTTCGTTCAGTGGGGTGCGAAATAATAAACTCGTACCCAGACTCTGTAAATGGTCAGCACTGCATATATTGCATCATGTTCGTAATATGAGAAAAACAGCGATTCAACCGCTACTGGAACTTGCGAAACATCAAATCCTAGTATAGAAGACGGTTTTCATGCAACTTCGATGTTGAACGAGCAATTTTGAAGGAAATTCTTAGCAGTTTTAAAAGAAAAAAACACATCGCAATCAATACAGTGCGTCAATAGACAGAATTTTGCAAGGTTGCAAATGATTTTTTGCAATGTTCCTAGCATTTTTTCAATTTACGGTGGTGACCGGAAGAAATAACCGTGTGTCACAACGACAAGATGCCCCAAAACTTGCGGACGATTTGATTTTTTAGGGACACTATAAACTCAAAATTCATGCGCCAACATTTTAAACATTTTTCAATATGGGACCGCCGTGTCGAAAATTGAGAAAAAGAGACAAATTTGAATTTTTAAAAATTTGATTCCCCGAACAAATTTAGCTGGTTCTAGTGAGAAAAATTCGCAATCTGCTTTGTTATAAATTTACTCCTTATAATACAGTGCTATATTATATTAAAATGCAAAACGGGCCAGAATTCTGTGCTTCCATTTTTAATTTTTTTTTAAACTTGGTTTCCACATGCTTGCTTGTTTCCTGATTTTTGGACTTTTTTCATGACAAAAGATAATATTATGTGTGGTTTAAATCTCCTACGATTTTTTTGGCTTATTGAAGTTTAAAAAAATTACTTTTTATCGAATTGGTGGGAAGACTTGCAGAAAATTTGAAAAATAGGAGAAGGGATGATAAGTGTTTTCCCATTGAAGTCCATGGGAAAATATGATCCAACATGCATGCATATTTATTACTACAAGTAATTACGTCCTAATTTTTCAAGAAGCCTACTGTACTTTTTCAGAAGGTTCTGGTAAAGGTTGCTGGAGGTTAATAGTGTAAAAAAAAAAAATTAGCGGATGCGCAAGTTATCTGCATTTCTTTGAAAATCAAGAAAAAGCCTCCTTCATATTCAAGAAAATAAATTTGGAAAATTCTTGTCTCAGAATTGTATATACACACGCCTCAGGATTCCAACTGAATTAAATTATCTGCATACATTTGTAAATTCCGAAAAGCCCAGCCCTCCTTCGAGTGGACAAAAATCCCGAAAAGTAATGTCTCAAAATTTCAAATACGTACGTTCGAGAGGGATTCCAATTTACTCAGGTGTGCCAATTTCGATGCAAAAAATGGCGGTGAAGGGAAAACTTGCCTTCACCGCATGTACTGTGCATTCTGTGTGCGTTTCCCTTGGCTTCCGTCATCAGTGGAATATAAAGCAAGTTTTCCCAGTCTGAGAGACAACAAAGAAAAATGGGGCTGAGGCCAGGGCAACTCGGCTTATTTATCCATCCCAATAAGATGCGGCGGTGAATCCGGATTCTTTTTTATATGTATACATTTTACCACCGTTTCTCTTTCTATATTTTTGGCTTGGTTTGGAAGAAAAGGGAGGAATTTTTGCCTTCCCATCAGTTGCTTGCATTGAATTCTCATCAGGTTTAAGCTGGAATTACCATATTTGGATCATCCGCCAGCGTGCCTCGCATTTGGGTGCTGGAACATCAATTCTTATCAAGACAGAATTTTTCTTTTGCGATTCTTTCAGCGAAAAATTCCATGATGGATGTTTATGGATCCATTTTGAGCGTGGGTAAGAGAGTAGCGTGCCTCGCATTTGGGTGCTGGAACATCAATTCTTATCAAGACAGAATTTTTCTTTTGCGATTCTTTCAGCGAAAAATTCCATGATGGATGTTTATGGATCCATTTTGAGCGTGGGTAAGAGAGATTTTTACAGAATACAAAACTCAAAGATATATCTGGGATTTCGGCAGCTGAACCTTGATTCCGGTCTTTTTTAAAGTCTTGTATACCCGAAGTCATTACGATTAAAAGATGAATTTCCACTCGATTTGAGGCTGAATTTTGTCGAATACTTCATACGTTTCTCAAGGATACTGAAATTTGGATATTTTATATTGAGGAATTTTTTTTGTCCTTCGGCAAAATCTGCACAGTACTCGAGACAATAAGGCATTGTTTTAATCGAAAAATTGATAAAATAAATCGTAAAAAGAATTATCCGCAATCCGAATCTTATAGGGATTCATAAACTCTGATTCAATTGGATTGAATATTTTATATTGGAAATAAACTGGGAGATGAGTAATTCTACTCAGAAGTCAGACGGCACACTTTCATCAAATCAACAATAAAAAATGGAGCATTTACAAGGGATCAAAAATTGAATATTTTTGAAGATTTCATCATTCTCTGCTACCTAAACCTATAGAGAATCAGCAACACATATACTAATAGAAATTTCTCCACAAGTATCGTGTCTACAACAATTTTCTGTGTATATTGATTATTTTTGACCTATACAGTATATATATAGGGTTCTCACCCTACCATTCAAAAAAAAAAATTCTCACTGAAAATAATTTGTGTGGTCCCTAGAATTTTGATAAGAAGGAGTCATCTTTTATGGAATTTAGAATGAAAAAGAACTTCACCATATCATGGTTCTATAAGGATTTAGATTTTTTGCTGGAAAAAACCCCAAGAAAAGCCATCAGCAATGACAATGAGCAATGACCATGCAAAAATTGTGCATTGAACATATTGTTCCTTGTATTTACATTTGAGTTTCACATTTATCAGATTCTCATTCTCAATATACTTGTACTGTAGATGCGTCTGTAAGAAACAAAGCAGACGTGCATCAGAATGACCCCAAGTTTGGCTTCCTGAAAAAATAAGTTGGCTGTGGGGGTGCGTAAGTGCCAGAGGCAAACAACAGCAAGCAATACCAGACGGACAACCGCACTTCTTGGTTTGCTCATCCAGCTGAGCATGCAACAAGCAACGCATTATTCAATTAAAAGTGTGTCGGGGAACTAGGGGAAATATTCCAGAGAACATTCCCCCGATGGTGCAAAACAAGAACAGGGGCTGGAAGGGGTGCGGGGGACGTGTTTCATTCTCATCCTCCTTGCGATTAATTTTTCCTGAGGCACGCACCCCCATCCTCAATACCCACCTTTGTTTTTCTGCGCAAATCTTACGTTCCAAGAAAAAAAAACAAGGTGTAGGGTTCATCATAGAGAAAGTTGTTTACAATGGAAGACACCAGAAGTAATAAGGATTCCAAGATTTAAAAATGTTTCAAGGGGTTGATTCAAAAGATTCCTTGGGTTCCTGGAATCCGTAAAAAAAACGCTCATACTTGAAACGAATACATCTTGAATTTTTTTCACACATTTTTTATTTGAAAGTTGAACATTTTTCTGATTCTGATTATCAGATTGAAAATTTCCAAAACTTTGAAGAACAGTGAAAAGAATTTCCTGATCAACTTAGAGGCATTTGTAGAGGAATAAGTACAGTACAGTACTGTAAATCCTCCATTAAAGAAAAGGTCTCCTATGTACTGTACTGTAGACGCCTTTCTTTAATAAATGCTAGGTCTCAAAGAGGGTTGAGAGGAATAGTAGGTGGCATCTGATAGTGCTGGCTGTATCAAAGAAAGGGGGAGAGTCAAACAAATTTAAGAATTTTGGTATTTTGTTAATCTGAGTTCCCCTCTTCAAAATCTAGTCCTAAACATTCAGCAATGAAACCATTTCAGTTCAGCATTATGTCATGCATTCCTGTCTTATTTCCAGAAATCAGTTGGATTTCCAATTTTTTTTCCATTTTCCCCTTGTGTTACCCTAATTTTCTTTTCATTTTCTTTTACAGTTGCAAATGCAGGAAATAACCAATGGCCTCTGATAGACACCAGTCTCCATTAAAGACCCAGATACAATTTAAAAAATTTCTCTGGGTCAAAATTAAATAAATGCGAAGACATCCATTGAAGCATTAAAGTATTTGAAGATAATTCATCTCACTCAGCAAGGATGTCAATATTTTAGAATATTGACAGAGAGTAATACATTGACACCAGTGACCAGTGTTGAGCTGCAAACAAAATACTGTACAAAATTGTTTAGCTCAAATTCACAAATTTTGTTCCTGACGTTAGAAAAGCTAAGATACTAAACAGACATTCAGGCGTGAAGGGCTGTTGCAAATCCGTCCTTCTCAAGACTCCTGTTCAGCAGCAGCAGCTTCAAATGATTATATTCTGCTCATGTCCCATGACATGGGGAACTTTTGGCCCCCAATTTCACGCCAGGGAACTCATCCCATCATTCTCTATGATGTTATTGCTCTGCAAAGCTCGGGATAGGAAAAAAAATCACCGTGGATTCGGGGGTGCCATGTGGGATTGCATTGCTAGAAGTTGCCAACATGGGAGATCCCATACCTCCCACTGAGCTGTGTATAGTATGGGATATTGAATTCTTATAGGGCTCATGGTGGGCAGATGAGGAGTGCGTTTGTTATCCCTTGGGGAGAAGGTGGATGGGATGTGTGGGGTGGAGGTGTTCTATTGCAAAGCAAATTTTTAGGTATGTGTATAATTTTTTTTTCATTGAATCTCATTACAAGGAATTCTTGCTCAAAGATTTGTTGGATCTCTACTGTAAACTCAAAATGGTTGTTAATCTACAGTTAAACTGTACTGTATCTAGCTGCAGTAAACGGCGGGACAGCAATAAACGAATGCCCTAACATCCAGAAAAGATTTCAAATTTCAGAAATATTTATTTTCTGAAGCATAGAGTCTCCTAATTATAGTTGCTGTCCCGGGTGCCACTAAAGTTATGAATCACCTTGATTATGTGTTCATTTACTCCATATATTCTGATGAACGTCATCGTCAGCAGTTACACGAATATATCACACTGAGCAGTGAAACATGTGGAATTCATTCTGAACTTCAATGCTCAACTTTTAATCTGTGTGTGGTACTGTGGTGGAAGGGTTATGCTTTTTTTAAATTGTGTTAAGAGTAGACATTCCGAATACTTGTTCCCAAGTTCTGGGATTTTTTTTAAATGTGGTTAGAAAAAAGAGCATACTCGAAATTCTAAATGAAGAGCTGAAAATTGTTTGGATTGCTCTTATTAAGCACTTCTTCATCCAGTTTGATGCACTTCTAGTCATTTATTATATCTCTTTACATATTGACATGCACTCAACATTAAATTTCAGTTGAACCTCCATGAATGGAACCTTACTTAGTCTAATGCCTTTTTATATACGTCGAAGTTTTTTCAACGTCTTTTCTGAGAACAATGCGTTGGAAACCTCCCTTCAACCCAGGGTTTTTCTCATCTTCAAAGCTCCATAACTCGACTTTTCCACGATAATTTCGGTAATGAACTTTTTTTGTCACATCAGGATAGAGAAAAGCACTGTGGAAGTTAACTTGATGTGCTTTGCAAGAAAGGCAATTATGAATTGGGCTCATGCATTTTTGCCTCTTCGTTGTTCAGCGAGGGGTCAATTACTTCTAAAAACAATTTAAGGCCAGCAATATCACCAGTTACAATTTCCTGTCATTCCTTCTTGCTCTACAGAAAAAAATGTTCATTTCCATGACTCAAAACCTCTTTGTCGATTTTTTGGAGCTCTTGAAATTTGACTCAAAAACGCTCCACTTTTGAGAAAAATATTCCATTTTTATTTTACCGAGGTACACATTTCTGGTTTTCAGTGCATAAGAAATTTATTTTCACACTTTTGGACGTACGGAAAACTTTTTTCCACGAATACAAAACAAAACTCATGTATCAATTTTCGGCAATTGATTCTTCAGATTTTAAAAATGCTTCCAGTACATAATAGATTTGTTCTAGAAGTACTATTTCTCCCATTTCGAGAAAAGGGTATTTAGAATATTTGTATACTCTCATAAAACTTTTTGAAGTTGATCCAGTGAAGCTGATGGCTGAAATCGTCACGCCTTCAATCAAGTATGCTCATCTGCATAAATTCCGTGGTCATTTACAGTATCTGGCTATTATTTTTATATGTCGTGTGTTTGTTTCAGATTCCATCATTTTGTCAATCGTCAATGGAAAAATTGAAGAAAATATTACCTCGACAAGAACAAACAAACGTTCAACACGTTTTATTTTACATTTTGCATGACATTCACCGCTGCTTTCAAAACGATTTAAAAGTCTAAAATATTTTTTGTGTGGTCATGATGGTTTTTTTCTTTTGATACGCAGTGGTGATGACCAGAGCATCCGCTGCGCATGCAGAATCTGACAAAGCTTTCTATTTGAGAATTTTTATGCCCTTAACAACTTTTTCAGTGATTTCTGATGTTCTTCCGGCACTGTCGACATTTACTGATCCTGGGTGTGAATGGAACTCAAGTGAAATCGTTGCTGTATTTGTAATGGGATACTCTGACTTCTTCTTTGTGGTGGCACTGTGGCGGAATGAATAAGATTGTTGCTGCATTTTTATACCCTGTTTCTCGTGGTCCGCAAACCTTTGCCACTGAAAGCTGTTTGCTATACAAAGTCTTACAATACACGTGCATCGATCAGACATGATTAAATTGTTCTGGAAGATGTAGGTGGATCGAGTTGAAAAATAGATAAGAAACTTTTTGAACGAATAATATCGAATGCAAATGTTCTATTCAATGAAAAATGCTTCAAAGCAATTGCTTCTCTCGACGGAATTTCACTTGATGACAGTTAGAGGGCATTTTAAAATGTTGATTCTCTTGTTGCAGAAGCCGAAGGAGAATTTTCATTATTCTTGACTAGATATCGTGGGTTAATCCCCCGAATAGTATTCGATGATTTGATTCCCAAAATTGTGAACTTCACCCCCAAAATGTTTCTTAACAAGTGCGTGAAACTGTTGTTTCAAGTTTTTAATTCCCCTGGGCTGTATTTAAAAAAAAAATTGGTTTCGAGAGTACAATTGTTTAAAATGAAAAAGTTCTGTAGAGAAACTTACAAAAATCTGCAAGATGAGAGCAGCTCATCATTTTATAGTGAAGAGCAAAAAGTGAGCTGGGTAGCTTTTGCAAAAAAAGTCCAAAAGATATTTCGAACAAGGCTGAGTTCGTTAATGTGCCGAAGAATGTTTTCATGAACAATAATTGTTTTCCAGCTCAATTGTATGCTATTTCAAATTGTTTTCTCAAACCTGTTGTTTGAACCCTTTATATGTTCCTGAGAACCTTTAACTTTGATTCTTCCAAAAAATCCATGAGTTGTTGGTCAGGATTGAATGTTTTCCTGCGCCAAAGGATATTTTTCTGAACAGTATTTTTTTCCAGCTCAGTCATATCCTGATACAATTTCTAGTTCAAGAACTTTTGTTGTACCTGCTATCTTAAATTTTACTTTAAGATTTTAAAGGTGAATACTTAAAGTTTTGGTCGTCTTTGCGTTACTTCTCCCAGGAGGGAGATTTTTACTCAAACTAGAAATGAATACTCTAAGTATTTCTTTTAGTATGTAGTTTATTACAACCCAGTACTAGGAAACCGCACAAGTGCTCTGCCTGAACAGAGCAAACCACTCGCTTATATATGAGAACAACACAAAGGAATAAAAACACACTGAGGCACAAGTCACGGGGCAATTGGGGCAAACCACAAGTCATGGGACAATTAGAACAGGGACATTTCACCATTGCTCGGGCATGGTGCAATGTTCTGTTGAAAAGCTAAGTGAACTGAAAATTCCAGACAGCCTGGAATTCAGGTCAGACAGTTAGAACAATAGAATGAGGGCAGAAAGTCATGCCCTCTGATTCTTC